GGGTTTGATTTTTCTCGATTTTTTAGTTTTTTTTTAACCCGATGCCCACCACAAAGTTCTAGCGTAAAAGTCGGAGTTAGCATGTTATAGGTTGTTGTGTTGCTTGAATGAACTAATGATTCCTTTGTACTTGTTTAATGCTTGATTTCGAATTCCAAATACAGTACATTCGTTTGTGGTTATCTCGTACTTCTTGATCCGATTACGTTATTTCTGGGATTCCTAGTTCATACTATAAGTCAAATACTTCTAATTATCATATTGGCGTCGCGATGGAGCCTGTGATGAAACGGTTGGACATACATTCAGATTTTGATGATTTTGAGGATTACTTTGAAAGGTTCAAAATCTGGGCTATGACCAAGGAAGATGATAAGGATGTTTATATTGTAGCACATTTGCTCACATTCATCGGAAAAGAAGCATACAGCTTATTCAAAACTCTGGCTTTACCGGAAAAGCCCATTTCGCTTTCTTACACAGCTCTCAAGGAACTACTGCTAGACTGTGCTCAGTTTACAAATTTCGATTGCGGTGACGGAAGATCTAGTAAAATGATCCACAAAGATGTAAAAAATTCCACTGCATTATGTCATCCCAACCCAGTGCATACTCAAGGCTATGCAGATAACAAATCATTGAGGAGTTGCGATGCAGTTCATGAAGATGGGCGCAAGTTTGGTCGATACTTGTCCTGTGGCAGGTTCCACTCTCTTAATTCATGTAAATTTCGTTATTCTGAATGCTTCAAATGTGGTGATATTGGACATATTCAGTCACTTTGTAATACTACTGTTCATCTTGCTGCAACTAATATTAAGTCTTGTAATTCTGATTCTATTAAGTCCAGTGTTCCTAATGATCATTTATCTTTATCAACGATTTCAAAAGACAGTGTAGAGTCATTAGGAATTCAGAGTTAAATGAAACTCAGAGTCCTTGCGAGACAACAGTTTCTAATCAATCGATTTGTCAGATTTCTCATGTTATTGTACCAAAAATGGTCCTTCCTGATGATTCACATATTTCTGATAAATTTCTTACAAATCTAAAGAAAATATCTTGAGTGAACATAATTATGATCGAAAACGTGATGTAGTTTTGATAGATGCTGATTTTTCTAATGATCCTGTAGCGGTAAATAAATCCCTAAAATAAATAGCTCTGTAAGTTTTCGACATTGGATGCTGACCATATGTTTTAGTGGATTCATCTAGCTGAAGGCGCTCGGTCAGGCATCTGCACCAGATCACGTGTGGTAACGCCGTGCTCAACATCAACCGCAATCGCTAGCCAGATTAGATCAGAGAATTCCGATATATTGGTCATCGCCAAATATACTCTTCCGATCTCCTCGACTCTGTCTTTTGATTTCTCTGGGCGGGAACGAAATATATTAGAAGGTGTTACTGGTAGAAGCGTTGTCAAACACTGAATACCTGTGACATCATCATTGGTGAAACCGACGTGATCTGGTACACCTTATTGCAACTGTGAGTCTGTTCCTTTTTGGGATTTTTATATATCATTGCCTTATTTTTTTATTTTTTTAAACATTGTGATTTTTTTTTTCGTGTTTTTTCCTGGATATATATATTTTCCCCTCGTTCATTATCGTACTTCATACTTCATCATGACTGAACAGACACCTAAAGTACTCAAGCTTAAGACTTTGTCCCCGCCTTCGTTTCAACTGATGCCTTTCTGGCCCGACAACATCGAAGCCTGGTTTTGCTACGCAGAAACCGACTTTTCCGAGCACGGCGTGATCGACACACGTGCACAATTCCTCGCAGTAGTCAAGGCACTACCGCGCGAATTCAACAGGTACGTAACACCTAGTATGTTTACTAGTGATGTTTCCGATCCTTACGAAATCTTAAAACGCTCGATTCTTAAACGAGGAGACCTAACCGATAGACAAAGGTTTAATCAACTCTTCAACAATATCGACCTGCAACACGGTTCTGCGACAGACATGTTGCAACGGATGAGAGAGGTTATAGGCCCAAGAACTTTCGACGAAGGTCTATTCAAACAACTCTTCTTGTCAAAACTTCCCCAACAGGTGCAAGCAGTTCTGGTCTCGTTCCAGAACAACGCCTTAGAAGAGCTAGCTGCATCTGCCGACCGCATTTTAGAAAAACCTCAAACGACTCAGAATGATATAAACGACTTATGTCACACACTCACGCGTTATCTTAGTCTTCGTACCGACCGTAAGAGATCGCGCACACCACGTAGAAGCATTTCTCGTAAGCGATCTATCTCTAGACCACGAGAGACAGGTAACCCCGACTGGTGCTGGTATCATAACCAGTATGGAAAGTTTTCCAGAAATTGCAGGAAACCCTGCAATTTTCCCAACACGAAACCGACTGATATGAAAAGCAATTCGGGAAACTTCCAAGCCGGCACGCGTTAACGGCAACCGTAGCCGGCGAACAAAGCCGTCTGTTATTCGTCACAGATGTGACAACGAGAGTTCGCTACCTCGTCGACACTGGCGCAGAAGTTAGCGTTCTCCCAGCAAATCCTAACGACCGACTACACGAATCGACCCTAAACTTACAGGCGGCAAACGGAAAACCGATCGCTACGTATGGCAAAAGGTACGTTTACCTGAACGTGGGTTTGCGCAAACCCATCCACTGGATTTTCGTTGTTGCAGATGTTTCTATGCCAATCATTGGTATGGATCTTCTACAACACCACAATCTGATCATCGACACGCGCAAACGGAGGCTAGTAGACGGTAACACTAATTTGTCCGTTTGCGTAACTTCTTTTACTGGTTGTAGAGTATCCCCAGTCACAGTTAAACATATGATAGACCCACTCTATCAACCACTACTCGATAAGTACCCTGAGATACAACAAACTCAAACGAAACTACCGTGTGTAACCAGCAATGTTACACATCACATCACGACTACAGGACCACCTGTATTTTCTAAAGCACGACGACTAGCTCCTGAAAAGCTAAGGTTAGCGAAAAACGAATTCGATCACATGATGGACTTAGGAATCATACGACCGTCAAGTAGCCCATATGCATCTCCGTTGCACATGGTCCCTAAAAAGGACAGCAACGATTGGTGTCCAACTGGTGACTATCGGCGATTGAACGCGAAAACCATTCCCGATCGTTACCCGTTGCCTCACATTCACGATTTGACAGCCACCTTGAAAGGTACAACTGTCTTTTCGAAAATCGACTTGGTTAAAGCGTATAACCAAATCCCTATGGCTACTGACGACATACCGAAAACGGCTATCATAACTCCCTTCGGACTCTATGAATTTTTGCGAATGCCTTTCGGTCTAAGGAATGCTGCTCAAACATTCCAAAGATTCATAGACGACGTTTTTCGAGGCCTCAACTTCGTACACGCGTATGTTGATGACTGTCTAATCGCAAGTCCGGACAGAGAAACACATCTCAAGCATCTGGATCTTGTTTTCGAACGACTTCAAAAACATGGCATAACTGTAAACGTTCAGAAATGCCAATTCGGAACCGACTCGTTAGACTTCCTAGGACACACTATCGATGCTCAAGGCATTCGACCTCTTAGGACCAAAGTGGCGGCCATTCTGGATTACCCAGAACCGACCACCGTCAAGCAATTGCGCACGTTTAACGGCCTGGTAAGTTTCTATAGACGTTTCATACCCAAATGCGCATTACTTATGAAACCTCTGACCGACCAACTTCGTGGAAATGCGAAATCGATTAATTTGGACGACACCGCACGAACAGCATTCTCCACAGTTAAGGAACTGATTGCTAAAGCAACAATGCTCGCACATCAGGACACCCGAGCACCCATTAGCATCGCAGTAGACGCATCCGACTCAGCAATCGGAGGAGTCTTACAACAATGGGTTAACAACTCCTGGCAACCCTTGGCATTTTTCTCTAGAAGGTTGCTAGACACCGAATCAAGGTACAGCACATTCGGTAGGGAACTCTTAGCTATGTATTGTGCTGTACGGCAATTCCAACACTATATCGAAGGCCGTGAATTCACTCTTTTCACGGATCATAAACCGCTTACTTTCTCGTTAAGCTCTCCTTCTGACAAGTACTCTCCCCGTGAGTCTCGACAACTGGACTACATTTCGCAGTTTACTTCAGATATTCAACACGTCTCTGGAGCAAACAATGTAGTTGCAGACGCTTTATCTCGTATAACTTCCTTGAACAGTTTCCAAGGAATCGACCTTCTTAAACTCGCCGAGCTTCAAAAAGAAGACAGTGATCTTCAGCACGAGTTATCGTCCACAACACTTAAACTACGCATCAAACAGATGGGAACAGGTAAGGAAACCTTACTTTGTGACACATCTACAGGTAGGGATCGACCAATCGTGCCGAAACATTATCGACGCAATGTCTTCAACACATTGCACAAACTTTCGCATCCAGGTGTTCGTGCAACCATCAAGCTTATAGCAGAAAGGTTTTGCTGGCCTGGAATGAATAAAGACGTGAGGGAGTGGGCACGCTCCTGTGTAAGCTGCCAAAAATCTAAGGTTATAAGACACAATAAATGTCCCTTAGGCTCGTTTAAAATTCCCGATGCTCGTTTCCACCATGTTCATTTGGATTTGGTAGGACCTTTACCAGATTCAAATGGATACTCTTATCTCTTAACCTGCGTAGACCGTTTCACTCGATGGCCAGAAGCAGTACCTATCAAGGACATCACTGCTGAAACAGTGGCCCGCACATTCTTCGAACGATGGGTAGCAAACTTCGGCTGCCCTTCAACCATCACTACAGACCGCGGACGTCAATTTGAATCTGATCTTTTCCGTCGTCTGACCACTCTTTTAGGAATCACTCGCTTCCGAACGACCGCCTACCATCCACAAGCAAACGGGTTGGTAGAACGTTTTCATCGACAACTGAAAGCTTCGCTATCAGCTGCAAACGTTTCACAGTGGACCGACGCTCTTCCACTCGTCTTACTAGGTATCCGCAATGCAGTGAAAGCTGACATTGGATACACTGCGTCTCAACTCGTTTATGGTACGACACTTCGACTTCCAGGAGAATTCGTGGATCCTTCATCCTCTTCAATGAACATGGATCTAACCTCCTACACGAACAGGCTTACAAACGCAATGCGTTCAGTTAAACCTGCTTCCACTCGACCACAATCAACTGATGTTTTCGTTCAACCTGACTTACGATATAGTACACACGTTTTCGTTCGTCGAGACTCGCATCGACGACCATTCGAATCAGCATACGAAGGACCCTTCAAAGTTCTTCAACGTGAATCTAAGTACTATATAGTCGATAAGAACGGAACCAACGATAGCATCAGCATCGATCGCTTAAAAGCAGCGTATTTAGAAGGAAATCCTATCTACGTGGATTTTCCTTCGGTACAATCGAACGACACGACTCCGACACTTATAATACCTCATCCGACAACCAACACACACGATGATACTTCGACAGTATCCGAAAATAAACTTAAAACGACGCGTTCTGGAAGAAGGGTGAGATTTCCAGAACATTTAAACGACTATTGCACGTAAGGTACTTCTCGACATTTTATATTATTTTAAAAAAAAAACAATTTTAATATGCTTATATATTTTTATTTCTATCTAAAAAAAACAAAACCAAAAAAAATCAATTTTTTTAAACGCTATTACGTGTTCATGAGTTTATTTTCCATTTTTTTTCCGCCGACATTGTGTTTTTACGCACATACGAGTGTATTTCGACATGCACTTACATTTTCTTTTTTCTTTTCCAGGACGGCTGGAAAAGAACGATGACGTTTATGAGGATCCGAAATTTTCATTGTACATTTTCTTTCTTTACTATGTTGTACCTCCGTCTCATATAGTAAGGAAAGACGACCAGACGCTGCTAAATTTAGTAAGCTATCAGAAGAGTGTTTACCAACGACAAACTCGTTGGGTTTAAACTTCTGGCTGGCTACGTCTTAGGGTCGTCACTGCCCCACTAGGGGGGGAGTGATCTGTAGCGGTAAATAAATCCCTAAAATAAATAGCTCTGTAAGTTTTCGACATTGGATGCTGACCATATGTTTTAGTGGATTCATCTAGCTGAAGGCGCTCGGTCAGGCATCTGCACCAGATCACGTGTGGTAACGCCGTGCTCAACATCAACCGCAATCGCTAGCCAGATTAGATCAGAGAATTCCGATATATTGGTCATCGCCAAATATACTCTTCCGATCTCCTCGACTCTGTCTTTTGATTTCTCTGGGCGGGAACGAAATATATTAGAAGGTGTTACTGGTAGAAGCGTTGTCAAACACTGAATACCTGTGACATCATCAATCCTTTACTCTGCAATGACGTTCTTAATAAATTTGAGGAAACTATTTCAAAAGAATCAAATCTTGATGTTCTATCAAATATTATTTGTCCTCATAATGCATTTGTTTCTTGTGGAAATCTTGTTCAGTGCGAAGCACAAGTACTAAATGAGCTCGATTTTGATTACGATTCGGATGATTTCATATCAAATGTTGTTTATCCTTATCACAAAAACACTTCTAATGTTTATCCTAACCAATGTGAGAAATATGTTTCAAATGAAGCCACATCATTCATAAATTGGGGATATGAAGATCCAAAATTATTTTGTGGGAGAGGATAGTGTTGGGAAATCTGTGCTTTAAATTCTAGATAGTGGTTTCAGTACACAACCGACACGGCGATTGTATACAATCCCAGGAACCAAGTGACTCTGTTCCGATTTCGGTCGTTAATTCTAATAATAATGAGCACATTCTAGATAATACAGAGTTTATATCCAATACAATGTCGGACAGACACAGGATGAAGTTGTATTATAATTCAAATACTTCTGATTATCACAGTTATCTTAGTAGAATATCTAATCCAGCATAAAATTGAAAACATAAGTCTGGATGGTGGGTGTAGAAGAACAATCCCAGTATCACAGAGTGATTGACTTGTTGTAAATCATAAAGGGCGTGATACAAACAAAATGTTCTACCCCACAAACATGGGTGGTTTGAAGTCACTGCTCTCACCGTTATTGCTTGTTGGTTAATAAATCCACCCTCCCTCCTTTTGTGATGTGAGGCTCGTTTGAGCTTGTTTTTGAATATATATCATACCTCATACGATGCTCTGCGTTTCACACCCTGTTGGAAAACACTATTTCTATAAGTACTTATCAGTAAGTTACAGATTATGGACTGTGGTTAAGGCATTGGTGTAATGTTGTAATTGACTGTAGTATAAAGTATAGGTTGCCAATCACAGTATAGGCATTAGGAAGAGTATATTGTCAGATAGTTGTTTACCAAAGTAGGCGAAAAAGTATGAAAATATATGAGTTATAGATAATGTAACAAGTGGTGAAATAATAGTAGTGGCAAGTCAACAAAGTGAATAGGAAAGCAAGAAGCTGATAAAGAATGGACAAGAAGGAGCACGCACCAACTTGGTGTCGATGTTATTTTGTTCTATCCCAACCGGTTGGTGGGTAACATGTTCCATAGATGCAGGACCACTAGTAGTAGGCAGTCGATTGTGTGGTTCTCTTGACCTTTTAATGTAGTAGTGAGTGTTCCTTAGCGACCGAGTTTGATTGAGCAGTATTGATAGGTCCAGTGAGTTACCTGTCTATTTCAAGTAAAAAAATCAGGTAGAAAAAATTATCTTATACAACAGAAAAGTAGGGAAATAAGGCAAACTGAACTTAGAGTCCGATTCCGTTTATCCACGTAGAGAGCCTACAATATGGTTTTTCCTAAGATTGGTATGATGTACTTTGATGGACAACCGGGTCAGTACTACTGTTTTATTAGTCAGTTTACTAGCATTCTAGAGAGTAAACTATCCGATAAGGGCCAATTGTTGTCGTATCTGTTATATTATTGTATAGAAAAGGCCAAACCGGCTGTTGAAGCATTCATTTCCCTGCCCAGTCATTTGAGTTATGACGGCTAAACGAATTTTATATGATTTATTTGGTTAGGATCACCTTGTTGCACGAGAACTAATTACTGAGTTATTAAACCACAAATCTGTTGGAGGATCAGCTGACGTATTAACTGACTTTGCGATTAAGTTACAAAATGTATGTATAACGTTGAAGGAAATGGGGTACATGTCCGCTAGAATTACAGAATAAGTGAGCGGAAGTCGCCAATAAGATCATGAAGCATGGGAAGGAGCCGAGCTCTGAAGAATTTGTGATCTTTGTAGAAGAGAGAGCCAGAATTGCTCGAACACGTTATGGTAGATTAGTACAGTATAACTCAAGGTTCGGTAAAAGGAATTCTGTGGGCCAAGCTGATAGGAGGTCACTCTTTCATGAAATTAGGCGAGACCCAAACAACTCAGTCTTAGGGGACCACACCCGGAGTCTTCCACCCGAAGGTCTGATCCACAAGGCAGTGGAGCAACGTCAAGAGATTCAGCCCCGTGGTAGCCGGTGACCAACGATCGGTTCAAACGCCATTAGTTTCTTCAGGATACTGGAGCTCATGTGCACCATGGGTTTGGAATGAGGGCTGTAACGGAAAGAAAACGATAAAAATCCCTCCGCAGCTTTTTGTTGGAAAGTACTGTCATGTATCTGTTTCTTCTCCTTGTCGTGTATCTTAACCTTTGTTCAGCCCTCGTTTAACCACACCTTTTGTTCTTCATTCTTCTTCGTCTGAGCCTTTATTATGTGATTTTGATTGAAGACTTACCTTTTGCTACCTAAGTTTCCACTGCATGTTGCCGGACTATTGAAAGTAAGGCCGTGGTCAAGATCACGGCGTGGTTCAGCGTGTGGCTGTTAACCTTTTGACTGTCTGCTGGGGAGGATTGCTGGAATCCTTGCGGATAGATGTTTGATCACATCTTGTTGAGAATATTTTTATCGATTCTCAGGTATCAAACCCTTCATTACTAACTGTTTCCTTCATTGTTTAGTGCGCTACTTTGCGTTAGAGAAACTTCTGACGGTATAGCACAGGTTGTACCGTTTGAGGTATTTGGTACTTTTGATGTAATTTGTTCTATTTTCTAAATTAGAACTGTTTATATTGAGCACAGAGTTTGTGTTTTGATATAATATAATACGAGTACCTCAAAAACGCATTGTATGCTATACAGAGGAACTCGGTCTGGTCTAATCGAATAAATTTTGGTTCGTCAGTCCGGCGTTCCAACCGAATAGTGGTTGTTCGGTCGTTACGAGGGTTTTCCAACTCCACTAGGTGGAGTTTCCATGTCCACTAACCCAGTTAAAGCGCTGAAGCTTCGCTTTTCGTCCTCTTAATTTCGTAAACATCAGTAATGCTATGAGAAGGCAGTGAGTAGGACTTATCTGGCAGAAGCTATATATGCTTGGCCATGTGAGAGCATTTCGAGAGGGAGAGTGGACTGTCCCCACTTTCGGCCGTATCAGGGCATTTGGGGGCAGCTAACGTCAACGTCACCCCTCGTGGTCAGCACCTAACGTTGAATGCTCTATTAACGTATCAAGGTACTATAGATGCTTTGAAGACTGTACAACACAGTTGAGGTTATTGCAGAAATATATTTGTTAGAGTAGACACAAGCAAAAGTAATACTATCCCTCATGGGCCTGGTCATGGCGTACGATTAACTGATGCTTGTTGGTTGTCCTTCACCTTGACAGGGATCGAGCGATCTGTTCGATATTCAGCGACCCAACTGCAGGGTGATTTGGCTACGGCTCAGTGACATTGCACTGGCCCTGCACGCGTTAAACTTGAGCACCTGGATGCAAGAGCCCTTCCAAGTCTCAAGCGAGAAGACAGAAGACAAATGAAAGGAGTGTTATTCCAAATAATATCCATTATGGTACAACACTGTCAGGTATTTATAGTTTTAAGTAAAAACTGAATCACCATTATAGTTATCCAATCCTCACACAGAGGGTTATTAGCATTCGTTCAATGAGGAAGCTACATAAAAGGGATTCTGGAATACCCTTCCAAAAGATGATTAAACAGAACATCTTCGGCTGTTTCTGAGCTTTTTAGAGCTTCCTCAAGTTCACCAATGGGCCGTCCTCGCATTGCAGGCCTTCTGTCCTTACTACAAAAATGTGAATCTGAAATCTGGATCTAAATTTGAGGCATGTAGGACAAGGCCACTGAAAGGTGGCAATCCAAACTCTGAGCTTAACGAATGGCGTTGACGAAACTGTGATGTCGCGACACATTTTAGCGCTAATTTCTTAATTTTACTTTTTGCACAGGCTCAAGTCTAAATTAGCTATAAATTGATTCGAAAGTCTATTATCTGATTTCAAAATTTAGTGAATGGGTGTTTTTCTATTTTGCGGTACATCGTATCACAAAGCCCTTGAAAAACCATTCATCGTTTGCTGATACAACAGCTTTACCATATTCAGACCTCAGACTAGAAGTCATTTACACTTAGCTATACACAATGATCAGACAAATAACATATTTCTAAATCGACTAACGTGATTTATTCATATATATATATATATATATATATATATATATATATATATATATAAATTGCATTGTTTTCATGGTCGCCAAACTGCGTGAAGGTGTCACAGGTATTCAGTGTTTGACAACGATTTTACCAGTAACACCTTCTATTATGAAGCGCGCCCACCAAGAGAAATCAAAAGACAGAATCAAGATCAAAAGTTGTATTTGATGGTTGTCAATATATCGGAATTGTCTAATCTAATCTGCTTAGCGATTGCAGTAGATGTTGAGCTCAGCGTTCTCACACGTGATCTGATGCGGATGCATGACCGAGTGCCTTCAGTTAGGTGAGTCCATTGAAACATGTGGTCAGCATCCAATGTCGAAAACTAACAGAGTTATTTATTTCAGGGATTTATTTACTACTACAGATCA